GTTTTTGAGGGAGTTGGGTTCTAAGCTAATTGAAACACCTAGAGACCCTAGAGCCGCCAGTTTAATTTTTTAGCGCCTTAGTGGGGCGATCCAGCATCCATGGTTCCTGCCCGCCATCTGAGGAGCTGGAGGAGCTCTACAACTTGTGACAAGTTGCCCTGTACCCTGCATGTAACCAATGTTGTAACTCCTTTTTTATGTAATGAAGTTTTAAATAAAATAAAATGAAACATACATACAAAAAGAATAGAGGTGGTAGGAGAATAAAATATTAAAGTGTTCAGTGAGAATCCACAAGGTCTTCTCTGAGTAATTTCTATTTTCCGCACCGAGGCTTTGGGTCCCTACAATTGCACTAGAGGTGGTACCCTTACTACATTAGTATATATCTGTGTTTTCAAGTTGATACGTGATATTTTAAGCTGAGATGATATTTGAAGTTGATACATGATATTTGAAAAATATATATTCACAAGATGTTCATCCTTTGACTTGGTCTAAGACTGGAAAGAGAAAAGAGAGAGAGAGAGAGAGAGAGAGAGAGAGAGAGAGAGAGAGAGAGAGAAAGAGAGAGAGAGAGAGTATTTATATGAGGATGTCCTTTGAAATCCTTATAAATTCTGACCAGATTATCTTACACCGTCCATAAGATAGCGACATAATGACAGTGAGTGACAGTGCGCACAATGCTATAGCACAGTATGTGAACAAAATAACAAACTTTAGGTATTCGTGTCCCAGGAATCCCTGATAACCACTAGTAATACATCATACGTATCCTGGATGTGATAAGGAAGCGGGTGAGGGGTCCGTCTGTCAACCCTGCGAGCCTCACTGCCCCTAAACACTCAACACCACCATGTAAATCCCTCATGCAAATATATACATTATCACGCGAACGTTTTCGAAAGGGATCTTGGAGTGGAACAGCTGTCAACCGGCTCGAAGAATAGGAGGATAATAAAGCACGCGAAGAGGTACTGGTATCCGGAGCCGGTTACCGGAGCCGGCATCTGGAGCCGGTACTGCAAGGCACAGCTACACAATACCATATCAGCTATCGAATTTATCTCATTGGTCTTCTATGCAAGAAGCCGATAGATTGTCCAACAATGAAGAACTTGGATGAAACTGCACATGCAACAAAAGCTTAGCTCAGGACTCGCTGGGGATTTAGTGAAAACAAGATAATTTCTTCTGTGAACTTTTGACATTTTCGTCAAGTTTTTTTCAGGAAGAATTTGACCTTTGTGCAGCCTTGTGCGGGTGGGCCTCCCACCGCCCTCCCCTGGCATGCTGTACTTGTTACCCCATTGTCGCCTTGCTTCCCCCCCCCCCTGCTTGTTGCTTCACTTGTTGCTTCACTTCTTGCTTCACTTGTTACCTCACCTGTCAACTTGTTGTTTGACTTCTTGCCTCTTCTTTTGCCCTTTCTTGTGGTGAGTGTGGACCAACACTACCCTCGTGGACCAGTGTGGGACAACACTACCCTCGTGGACCAACACTACCATCGTGGATCAGTGTGGGACAACACTACCCTCGTGGACCAGTGTGGACCAACACTACCCTGGTGGACCAGTGTGGACCAACACTACCCTGGTGGACCAGTGTGGACCAACACTACCATCGTGGACCTGTGAGGGACAACACTACCCTCGTGGACCAGTGTGGACCAACACTACCCTGGTGGACCAGTGTGGACCAACACTACCATCGTGGACCTGCGTGGGACAACACTACCCTCGTGGACCAGTGTGGACCAACACTACCCTCGTGGACCAGTGTGGACCAACACTACCTCTCTCCTGCTCAAATATGGCCTCCAGTACCCGGGTTCCGACTCTCGCAGTACTTGACGTCGTCAGATTAATTGTTTGGTGTTAGGTTGATCACGTGGAGCAATGGTGCTCAAGCCTTTGTTTCTCTACCATAGCAGTACCTGCTTGATGGGGTTCTGGGAGTTCTACTCCCCAAGCCCGGCCCGAGGCCAGGCTCGACTTGTGAGAGTTTGGTCCACCAGGCTGTTGCTTGGAGCGGCCCGCAGGCCCACATACCCACCACAGCCCGGTTGGTCCGGTAATCCTTGCAGGAAACAATCTAGTTTCCTCTTGAAGATGTCCACGGTTGTTCCGGCAATATTTCTTATGCTCGCTGGGAGGGTGTTGAACAACCGCTCATTAGTCGTCCCTGTCCCATCCACCTGGGCTCTGGGAGACTCGAACCATGGACACCAAACGTGTGAGTCCAAAGCTCTATCGACCGAGCTATAGCTTCTATGCTCGAGTGGCATTTCAACAGACTATTGGAGCTGGCTTGAAAGCCACAAGTCTCCTACCTCCATTGCTCCGACGATGTTTTTTTCTTAATTACTCTTACACGAACAGAATGGCACCGTTTCCATGTTAGTTTTTGTCTGGTCAACAAAAATTCTCTAAACGGGATTCGAGATTACTGTTTGGAAACTGTTTGTAGTGGAGGTACCACTGCTCAAGATACAGTACGTGGGTACCACTGCTCAAGATACAGTACGTGGGTACCACTGCTCAAGATACAGTACAAGGGTACCACTGCTCAAGATACAGTACGTGGGTACCACTGCTCAAGATACAGTACATGGGTACCGCTGCTCAAGATACAGTACGTGGGTACCACTGCTCAAGATACAGTACAAGGGTACCACTGCTCAAGATACAGTACATGGGTACCACTGCTCAAGATACAGTACATGGGTACCACTGCTCAAGATACAGTACGTGGGTACCACTGCTCAAGATACAGTACGTGGGTACCGCTGCTCAAGATACAGTACGTGGGTACCACTGCTCAAGATACATGTACATGGGTACCACTGCTCAAGATACAGTACATGGGTACCACTGCTCAAGATACAGTACGTGGGTACCACTGCTCAAGATACAGTACGTGGGTACCACTGCTCAAGATACAGTACGTGGGTACCACTGCTCAAGATACAGTACATGGGTACCACTGCTCAAGATACAGTACGTGGGTACCACTGCTCAAGATACAGTACGTGGGTACCACTGCTCAAGATACAGTACGTGGGTACCACTGCTCATGATACAGTCGTGGGTACCACTGCTCAACGTACAGTACGTGGGTACCACTGCTCAAGAAACAGTATGTGGGTACCACTGCTCAAGATACAGTACGTGGGGTACCACTGCTCAAGATACAGTACGTGGGTACCACTGTTCAAGATACAGTACGTGGGTACCACTGTTCAAGATACAGTACGTGGGTACCACTGTTCAAGATACAGTACATGTGTACCACTGTTCAAGATACAGTACGTGGGTACCACTGCTCAAGATACATGTACGTGAGTACCACTGCTCAAGATCCATGTACGTTGGTACCACTGCTCAAGATACATGTACGTGGGTACCACTGTTCAAGATACAATACATGGGTACCACTGCTTAAGTTACAGTACATGGGTACCACTGCTCAAGATACAGTACATGGGTACCACTGCTCAAGATACAGTACATGGGTACCACTGCTCAAGATACAGTACATGGGTACCACTGCTCAAGATACAGTACATGGGTACCACTGCTCAAGATACAGTACATGGGTACCACTGCTCAAGATACAGTACATAGGTACCACTGTTCAAGGTGCAGTACGTGGGTACCAATGCTCAAGATACATGTACGTGGGTACCACTGCTCAAGATACATGTACGTGGGTACCACTGCTCAAGATACATGTACGTGGGTACCACTGTTCAAGATACAGTACGAGGGTACCACTGCTCAAGATACATGTACGTGGGTACCACTGTTCAAGGTACAGTACGTGGGTACCACTGCTCAAGATACATGTACGTGGGTACCACTGCTTAAGATGCAGTACGTGGGTACCACTGCTCAAAATACAGTACATGGGTACCACTGCTCAAGATACAGTACATGGGTACCACTGCTCAAGATACAGTACATGGGTACCACTGCTCAAGATACATGTACGTGGGTACCATTGCTCAAGATACAGTACATGGGTACCACTGCTCAAGATACATGTACGTGAGTACCACTGTTCAAGATACAGTACGAGGGTACCACTGCTCAAGATACATGTACATGGGTACCACTGCTCAAGATACATGTACGTGGGTACCACTGCTTAAGATGCAGTACGTGGGTACCACTGCTCAAAATACAGTACATGGGTACCACTGCTCAAGATACAGTACATGGGTACCACTGCTCAAGATACAGTACATGGGTACCACTGCTCAAGATACATGTACGTGGGTACCACAGTTCAAGATACAGTACATGGGTACCACTGCTCAAGATACATGTACGTGGGTACCACTGCTCAAGATACAGTACGTGGGTACCACTGCTTAAGATACATGTACGTGGGTACCATTGCTCAAGATACAGTACATGGGTACCACTGCTCAAGATACATGTACGTGAGTACCACTGTTCAAGATACAGTACGAGGGTACCACTGCTCAAGATACATGTACGTGGGTACCACTGTTCAAGGTACAGTACGTGGGTACCACTGCTCAAGATACATGTACGTGGGTACCACTGCTTAAGATGCAGTACGTGGATACCACTGCTCAAAATACAGTACATGGGTACCACTGCTCAAGATACAGTACGTGGGTACCACTGCTCAAGATACAGTACATGGGTACCACTGCTCAAGATACATGTACGTGGGTACCACTGCTCAAGATACAGTACATGGGTACCACTGCTCAAAATACAGTACATGGGTACCACTGCTCAACATACAGTACATGGGGTACCACTGCTCAAAATACAGTACATGGGTACCACCGCTCAACATACAGTACATGGGTACCACGTACCCATTTTTTTTTTTTTGCCTTGGTAGTACATACGAGTAAAAAGGGACGTTCTTTGTTTGTTTGTTAAGAGGACAGGTAAACCCTTCCATTATGTGATCATTGTGACCTCAGAGGTAAACCAGTAAAGCTTCACAAGACGTTAGTCTATATCTTTATTTGCGTTCAATAAACTTAACCTTTTTACTAGTAGAGTTTTTACACAGTGTGAGGGACATATAGACTTGGCTTTATCACAGGCCAACCAAAACTCCCAAATGTGGTGTGCCAGCTCTTAACTCTCTCTCCTGTGAACAAGTGTGAACATTTATGGACACCTGTGAACGCCGGTGAACAGCTGTGAACACAGATGAACAGCTGTGAACACAGATGAACAGCTGTGAACACAGATGAACAGCTGTGAACACAGATGAACAGCTGTGAACACAGATGAACAGCTGTGAACACAGATGGACAGCTATGAACACAGATGAACAGCTGTGAACACAGATGGACAGCTATGAACACAGATGAACAGCTGTGAACACAGATGGACAGCTGTGAACATAGATGGACAGCTGTGAACACAGATGGACAGCTGTGAACATAGATGGACAGCTGTGAACACAGATGGACACCTGTGAAGATAGACGGACACCTGTGAACACAGACGGACACCTGTTAACACAGATGGACAGCTGTGAACACAGATGAACAGCTGTGAACAATTTAAAACAGGAGAGAAATGCTTGGAGCAGCTCACACGATTATCGGGCTATCGAGTCTAGGCTTAATTGAGTGTAGAGATGGCTTTATGGGACTAGTTCACAAGTTTAGAGATAGATAGATAGATAGATAGATAGATAGATAGAGACTTACTAGCCGCATAGAAATAAATATTTACATGAATGCTTCAGTAGCTCAGAATTTCCATATTTTGATCACAGACACCAGTGATTTAACTGAAGCGTGTTGGATCACGCAGTGAGTGAACTAGCCATGGATTGAGAAAAGACAGAATGAAATCACTGGCAGGCGCGCGATGAGAGGGTTGACGGGAACAGATGTGGTTAGTCGAGCTCCTGTCCAAAGGCGTTGTAAACGTCGACCTTCTCTCCGAACCTGTTGGTGAACTCCCAGCCGCCATCAGTCTCCACACGCTGAGGAAGAATAAACGTTAAAGGTTAACATATGCACACACATAACGCCCGTCTTGCTCTCACAATAATTATGTTAACAGTCTTCAGGAAAACGTTATTTATATAATATATTGTGTGTAGGAGTGGGATGACTTACCACGAAGAGGTTGGGGTTGGTGTTGGCCACAGCCTCAGCCTGCCTCACAAGGAATGGGTTGTGAGGGAAGGCGAAGGGGTTGTTCAAGCCTGGGCCGTACACTTTGGGTCCGTAGGGATTGGCGGCAGGAACAGCGCCTGGTGCTGCTGCCCCTGGTGCCCCCTGGACACCCCCAGCGGCACCGCCCAGGTTGGTGGCGCCCAACTGTGCTGACGCTACAGCCACCAACGCCAGTAGTACCTGCAGGAAGGACAAACAAATATGATATATATTAATTTTTAGCTCTTGGACGGTGCCCTGTTTTATTATTCCATCGATATATAAGTCCCTGCCCTTCCGTCTATATGTACTACGTTGTGGGTATGTTCTGGTCCCACACGTGTGGTTGCGGGTGTGTGACCTGGCGTGACAAAGGGAGTGGGGGGGGGCAGGTGTGGCACTTGTTGACTGCTGCCAGCTGGGTTACTAACCTTTCATGTATGTAATTGTTGTGCCTTGCGTTATGTTGCAACGCTTGAGCAGGACATTGTCTACACATTGCACAAAATAGTGTATTGTTCTTATGGGATGCATGTATACCAGAGACACGTGCGGCTGCACTCCTGAACGAGCAGTATCAACAAGAAATTATATAACATCCTGCAAATGACACATGCAACAACGCCTTCGCTCATCACCGCTTCTCTAACAAAGCCAATATTTCAACATGCAATACGTTACTTCTATATTGTAATGCTTTAGTTTAAAAGATTCCCTCCTGCTTTTGATTCGGAATTGTAATTATATATATATTTTTTGTTTCGCGCTTTAAAATTGAAATACAGTTATTATGCAATATATATAGACAAATTTTGTTTCAACAATAAACTTGTATTGAATATCGAAATTTGTATCACAAGCTGAGGCCTCCGAAAAAAATAAGACGCACGTTAATTTCAAAATATTGGTTCATTGAAACATAAGAGTTTCTTATAAATAAGCAATAGTGTAGCATTGAATCTTTCATTGGCGGAAAAATACCTGACAGTTTTTAAAACATTTAAAACGTAAGTTATGTAGAGCCTCTTGTTAACGCTTGGCGTGTCCATGGATGAGGCTGTTGATGAGACAGTTATGCTATCCTCAAGTTTTTTTCCTCGTATATATAATTTTTTTTATTTACCATGGTCAAAATAGTTAAATTTACTGGCTCCCACAGGCTGATGGTATCAGAAAGTTAATGTTGCGTCTTGTGTAAACTGATTTAATCTTAACATTTGAATGTTGAATTTGAGCTTACATGGATGTAGTCGTAAAGTTAAGCTATGAAGTTAACAAAAATCACAGCACAGATGACAAGTTATTGTCTGGCATGACAAGTTTGTGTTGCCTACTATCAAAATATGTCATCTATAGGTCTATACAAACATTTTTACACGTGAAAGGAGCATGAAATTGAATGTATTAAAAAAAATTGTGATTCCATTATAGTGTCCCTCAGATACAATTACATTTCATTCAATAATAGGAGGGCTGAATACTCCAAGATGCTAAAGTCCCCCATTGTGGCGATGTGGAGTAATTTTTCAGTGATTTGGTTCACAATTAACTGGGTGCTATGGGAAGTAGAATTGGAGTGGACAGCGACACGAGCAGAGGCTACACCAGTGTCTCTGGACGCTAAAGACATAAATCTGAGCTTACTGTGGCATTGCCCCTGGGTACGAAAACCAGAGCTAGCAGGAAGGCACTATATCCATCTTTTCCGTTCCCTGGGATCACCGCCTGAAGTTGAAAAACTAAATAATCACTTTTCTACACACATGTAACGGTTTGGCGGTAGGCTTAAGGCCCATCAGCTGCAGGAGGGATATTAAGATCACCAGAAATCTTTCTGACCAACCAGCAAGTATTTTTAACCCTGAATATAGTCCAAGACCAAAGTAAACTCTCAGTGTATGTACACCAAGAAGCGAGACACATGTCTCGGTATACACATTCCCTTCTTCACATCCTCAACTTACGATAGTCTTCATGTTGCTGGAGATGATGTTGCCGGTACGACTCGAATGGCTGACCTGTGCTTGCTGCCTGCTACTGCGCCCTTATATACTTCTCGGAGCTCTTACATCACGGCGTAAGCCAGACGTGCCAGTAGCGCTGCGAAGGTTGCCGTCTCTCCCCCGAGCGGCACTACGTCATCCATGATGCTCTCTCACGTCTAGGAAGCTCATCTTTGCGAAGAAATTACAGCTAAGGAACCAAAATTCTGCGAGAATATGAACATATATATCTTAAAAACACACACACACACAATTTTCATAACCAGAATTGCAACATAAATTTCTGCGACAAGATTTATCTTTTTGTTTTTTTTCATTGGGGCCCAAATTCCCCCACCAGAGGGACAGAGGCCGGGATAAAAAGCGGCCCCACCTCACCCAGGCATGCTGCAGCTCCTGCCCCCGGCTGCCTCACCTATAATTATGGCTGAACAACCAACTCCCATTTTCACTTACGGGCTATTCATGCCGGTGCCACCTCTTGGGTGACTTAATCTTTATCAATCAATCAGTCAACTCCTACAATGACAACAACCATCATCTGGATAGGGAGGGCACTGGGGCCCCGTCCTACCCAGATGATGGCTTCTGGGGGCCCCCTACCCAGATGATGGGCCCACTACTCAGATGATGGGCACTATGGGCCCACTACCCAGATGATGGGCACTATGGGCCCACTACCCAGATGATGGGCACTATGGGCCCACTACCCAGATGATGGGCACTATGGGCCCACTACCCAAATGATGGTCGCTGGGGCCCCTACCCAGATAATGGCCACTGGGGGCTCCCTACCCAAATGATGGCCACTCGGGCTCCTACCCAAATGATGGGCCCCGCCCGTCAGCTGAAATTTTGGATTATTCTCTGGTAGTTATGCTCAAATTATTTATATTATAAATATATTTTGAACAGATTTTCGAACCTCAGACCTTTCTAGCGAGAGGTCGAGTAATTGTTCACTTTGCCAAAAGATCTCTTATGAACCATATATCAGCATAGGGACCCCAAGAATCGTGGGGGCCCTGGCCAACTGTCCAGTGTGCCCATAGCTTAAGACTGCGCCGATGCATATTAATTTAATATTACATAAGATTAGAAATGGCAATGTGATGATTTCCCTTGTTTTTACACTATATTATTTGACGAAAACGGGTCCCAGACACAAGTGAGTCAAGGGATGAATACTAGGAGATGTGGATGTCCTTGTGGAAGGTAGAAGCAGGGGGAAGCACATGATGATGGACCGTCATGAGGCATAACCGCTTCCTTCTGGCTGTCCACGAAGTCGAGCCAGGCGGGCAGCCTTGAGAGCTGTGACCGTGCAACTAACGGTGAGGTTACCGGCAACTTTCCGGTATTCCAGGCCTGGCTGAAGAGACGAGTCCAGTCAGCTCGGGTCGAGAATTGAGGCGGGTCGCTCTGTGCGTCGCCTTCATTGGCGGGTAGTTGGTAGAGGAGGACAGGGCGGAGGCCGTCACGGAGTGCCGTCTATGGTCAAGGTGTAAGCGAATTTCTGCCTCGAATTAACGCTTGCAGGGGGGGACCGCCCGCGATTTCAGGCACTCAAATTTCCCATACATAACGTCCAGAGGATGTTTTGGCACTAAGGCGTTACCTTCACTCTGGCACCGGCTAACAAGTCATACAGTGGGCACCGGCTAACAAGTCATACAGTGGGCACCGGCTAACAAGTCATACAGTGGGCACCGGCTAACAAGTCATACAGTGGGCACCGGCTAACAAGTCATACAGTGGGCACCGGCTAACAAGTCATACAGTGGGCACCGACTAACAAGTCATACAGTGGGCACCGGCTAACAAGTCATACAGTGGGCACCGGCTAACAAGTCATACAGTGGGCACCGACTAACAAGTCATACAGTGGGCACCGGCTAACAAGTCATACAGTGGGCACCGACTAACAAGTCATACAGTGGGCACCGGCTAACAAGTCATACAGTGGGCACCGGCTAACAAGTCATACAGTGGGCACCGGCTAACAAGTCATACAGTGGGCACCGACTAACAAGTCATACAGTGGGCACCGGCTAACAAGACATACAGTGGGCACCGGCTAACAAGTCATACAGTGGGCACCGACTAACAAGTCATACAGTGGGCACCGGCTAACAAGTCATACAGTGGGCACCGACTAACAAGTCATACAGTGGGCACCGGCTAACAAGACATACAGTGGGCACCGACTAACAAGTCATACAGTGGGCACCGACTAACAAGACATACAGTGGGCACCGACTAACAAGTCATACAGTGGGCACCGACTAACAAGTCATACAGTGGGCACCGACTAACAAGTCATACAGTGGGCACCGACTAACAAGTCATACAGTGGGCACCGGCTAACAAGACATACAGTGGGCACCGACTAACAAGTCATACAGTGGGCACCGACTAACAAGTCATACAGTGGGCACCGGCTAACAAGACATACAGTGGGCACCGACTAACAAGACATACAGTGGGCACCGACTAACAAGTCATACAGTGGGCACCGGCTAACAAGTCATACAGTGGGCACCGGCTAACAAGACATACAGTGGGCACCGACTAACAAGACATACAGTGGGCACCGACTAACAAGTCATACAGTGGGCACCGGCTAACAAGTCATACAGTGGGCACCGGCTAACAAGTCATACAGTGGGCACCGGCTAACAAGTCATACAGTGGGCACCGGCTAACAAGTCATACAGTGGGCACCGGCTAACAAGTCATACAGTGGGCACCGGCTAACAAGTCATACAGTGGGCACCGGCTAACAAGTCATACAGTGGGCACCGACTAACAAAGGACTGTCACCTGGGTTTCCCTCTAATATACATACCGTGATGACGTTGTCTTGGGCCGTGGGTGGACGCTTCACTTGTTTTTCTCAAGTTTTGGATAGAACCGATTTTCACTATTTGCAGTTTCTCTTAATAAGTAAGCATCGTTAATTTTCGTTATCAGCATCGTTAGTCTTCGTTATTAATATTGTCAGTCTTCGTTTTGAAGCTTCTCAATCCCTCATATATGAAGGTTGAGTATCTGTGCTTGTATAGGCTTATAATAAGCTCTTCCATTAAAAGGCTCGAGTTTTAATTTTGGAACGATTGAATCTTCTATTCTCATGGAGGGAATTATCAGGAGAAAGCATTAAGCCATTACGCTGTCTTCTGGGGACCGAGTCGTTGTAACGCCATGTATGGGTTTATATTTATAAACTTACTGATAGAAGAGTGAGCTAGATAAGAAATCGTAGCCCGTCAAACTGTTTACAACTAAACAATGTGAACTCGCACCTCACAGTGTTAGATTCACACGTTGACCCTAGTGATGATAGCCAGATAGCGTGGCTATATGGCCTAGCTCCTGCGTTCCCACATAAATAGGCTACCAAATTCACACTTGATTAGAGAATGGGGAGAGGGAGAGAGCTTCATGGATCAACACGGAAGACCCTCACCCATTCTTAGCCTCTCTGGGGCCTTGACGAAACCACCATTCCCACCACCGCTGCCCCGGCACTCAGTACATAATGCTAGGCCTGGTGAGTTATGTGTGTGTGTGTGCAAGGTGATGTGTTCTGTGGGTCTTATTGTGCATGTTTTGTGAACACGTTGGGGCAGTCACTCATGGTGTTCTTGGGTTCTTGTTTCAGTGACTTCGCTATTGTTTTTCATTGAATTATATTTGAGGTGTGCAGAGTAGAGAGGGAAATACGTATCTGTTGTTAAATTGTGGATGTTTGCCCTTAAATCCGATAGGCTTCATCTTGAAGTCATTCTGCCGCCATGTGTGTGGTAAGGAGAGTGAGAGGCGCTTACCGAAGATAATTTGCTGGTTTTCACGATTGAAGTTTTGATGTTATCATCAATTAGAGATAACAGTGTTGGAAAGACAAGTTCCATTTCTTGTCTATAAGTAGATAAATGGATGAAGGCATTATCTATCTCAATCTCTCCCCTCTCTAGTAACTCTCTCCTCTTTTCCTCCTCCTATCCTAGTCCCCCCTTTCATTTCTACTAGTTATACTCCCCCTTTGTTCCTTTCCCTCCCCCCTTTCACCCTTCTAACATTTCCACAATGGGAAGAGTATCTTCCCGCCTCCTCCCCTTTCCTTGCTGTAAGTTGTCACCAGTCTGTTGCACTCTCATGTAACTAACTAATATATATATATATATATATATATATATATATATATATATATATATATATATATATATATATATATATATATATATATATATAGTTACTACTGTGGGTAAGTCTAACCATCAGATTGTTAAGGAGGCCTTCTGGGGATTGGTTCGTTGTCTTCTGGGGATTAAGTCATTATTTTCTTGAGGATTGGGTCGTGGCCTTCTAGGAAATATATATTTTTTTCTGGGACTGGGTTGTTGTTTTCTCGAGACTGAATCATTATCTTCTAGGGACTGAGTCGTTATCTTTTGGAGACCGAGTCATTGTTTTCTGGGGAAAAAAAAGAGTCGATATTTTCTTGGAACTGAATCATTATTACCTGGTCTTCATGTCTTGTAGGATCAGGCTGTAAATGGCTTGATGAGGAAACAGTTATTTAGTGGATCAGTTAATAAATTCGGGGTCTGGCTAATAATATTAAAAAATTTAAGTAGTAATATATGTTTTAAGGAGTGACTGTGTGCGCATGGTGTTCCCCTGATGCTCGAGTAGTGTGAGTCAGGATATTAATGCCAGAAGAAAGCAGGTAAACACATCATGACGTCACTTGACAAAGATCAGTTCTTGCTATGACTCACATTTGTTTTCGCATGACAAATATGACCTCCAGGTATACCCGTCTCTCTTATTATACCTCATGACTTCGTTTCGAGTTTTTTTGGTTTATAAAGCTGCGTTTTTAAATGTGAGAGCTTCGGTTCAACTCTCTGGTCTGCTCGTTAGAGTGTTGTGATGGTGTAGGGGAGCGGGTTGTAATGTGGGGAGTCTCACTGGCTGGGTGTAAGGCACGTCAGAGGCGATGTTACCACACCAGGCTGAAGGTGCACTACTCCCAGGTGAGGGTCGAGGACCCTCTTTATCTCAAGGAG